GGGGGGGCTGGCGCGAACAGGGGGAACGCTAAGAGTACAATGGCGAGAACTCCAGTGGCTGCACGGAATTTGGGGGGGGCATCATGCGTCAGCTTTTGCTCCCCATCTTTACATCTTGTCTTCTCCCCCTCTCCCCCTTTTCCCTTCCCCCTCCTCTCATCGAACACATAGGCAGCAGAAACTCACCAGACGCGGCGCCCTCCAAGCCAGCCAATCACTGCTGGCCGTCGGCAGCAATCCCATGCCGGCGCACTTCCACACGCCCAGCGCAAAGCAGAGGGCCTGGGCGCCGAGAAAGGCGAGCTTTTGGGGAAGCAGCGCGTGCGGCTGCGAGGGCGTCGAGAGCGGGGCGAAGGCTGTTTTTTTTTGGTTGTTGTTGTTTGTGGGAACGTGAGAGGGGGGGGCGTGGGTCAGCGAGTGGGTGAGATGGGGGAGACGGGAGAATGAGCGGGAGAAAGAGGGGGGGACGAAGAACGAGGGACATGCGTTACCCCTTCTTCCAAGCCCGCTCTTTCTCCAGAAGACTACCGCTTTCAGCGCCCGCGCACCTCGAACCTGCTCTGTCCCTCCTGTTTTCGCCCTTCTCTTCTCCGACTCTCCCCCGCACCCTTTCCCCTCTCCCCTCTTTCGCCGTGGGTGGGGGGCAAAACTCACCTCCCTGCACGCCCAGTGCCGCCTTGATGGGATTGGTCAGGAGCATGCCGACGACCATCATGCTGAAGATCTGCACGCCCGCGCCGCTCATATACAGCATAAAGGCGTTCATGGGCAGATTCTTTGCGGGCCCAAACGCCACGTCCCACGCCTTTTTCGCCTTGAGCGCCGCGATAGACTCGGGCGTCGGCGCCGCGCGAGGCTTGGGAGTGGACTTCTGCAAGGAGGAGGGGCGTGGGGGGGGCAAGGGCAATGAGAAAGCAGAAGTGAAGCGAGGGAAGAGAGGCGTTTACGTACGCGGGAAGTGGCAGCGGCTACGTAGCCGGGCGGATCGAGCGTGGCGTGCGACGGGGCGAGGGCATTGCTGGCACTGCTGGCAGCGCAGACATCGTCAAGGCTACGTGTGTCAGCCCAGTTGATACGGCACCGGGTGGAGGGGGGGAGAGGGGGGCGCTCAGATGTTCTATGGTCTCGCATTTGCCAAGGGGCACGAGAGAGACGTGTCCAGGGCAGAGAGAGAGAGAGAGAGAGAGCTACGGTCTTCTCTTCTCGTCGCTTTCTAACCATCTCTTCCCTTGGCTCTCTCCCTCTACCTTTCTCTCGCTCGGGCGCAAACGCAAGCATGACACACACACACACACACACACACACACACACACACACACACACACACACACACACACACACACGACGACGACGACGACGCACGCACGCACGCACCTCTCCTTTTCCTTCTTGCTCACTGCCCTGCTTGCGCCGCCGCCGCTGCCGCTGCCGCTCGGCTGCACCGACGCGGCGGCGGGAAGCTGCGCAGGCGCAGGCAGGCGCGAGTAGTCGAGCGCCGTGCGTGCGAGCGGGTGCGCAGCGGAGGGCGCCATGGTGCTTGACTCTTGTGCGCGCGCGCGCGCGCGTGTGAAGGCCGTGCTAGCTGGTGCTGGGGGCGGCGAAGAGCGAAGAGCGAAGAGCGAGGACGAGGCGAAGCGGGGCCGAGGGCGCAGACGCAGGTGGAGCGTGAGAGAGTGGGCGAAACAGAGCACAAAGAGACGTGCGCGTGCAAAGTCGAGGAGCGTTGGTGAGGCTGGGATGGTGGTGGTGCCAAGCGCAGGCGCCCGTCGTCGCAGTCGCAGTCGTCGCCCATCGTGCAGCAGGTGTCCGTGCACGACGCCGCGCGCGCCGCGCGGCACGTGGCCCCCTCTCGAGTCGGCCCTGCTCCCACGCGCTCTGCGCTCCCGTCGAGGGGCCTCTGCCTCCTCCTGCTCTCTCGGCAGCAGCACAGAGCGCGTCTCTCCAAGCCTCTTTCGCAGCTTGATGGATAGCACAAAACCAATCGAGCATACGAGTTTTGTTGACTGTGATCCTGCCTTGTGCCCTTGTGCCAAGGACATCGGCATGTCTGCCGCGAGCCATGGACGAGCCCGTTATGCGTCTCGGCGCGCGCGAGTCTCTGCTCCTTCAGATGCCAGCTACTTGCTCTCCCGCTGCCTAGAAGGCCATCGGTAGAATGGTCTGCGCCTCTGCATGGCGCATGCTTCGCTGCACTGCGTCTGCCTGCTCCCCCCCACACCCACGCAGGCATGTCTTGAGGCGCAGTCGCGGATGCGGCGCGAGACCTCCAGCCATGCCCTCTCTTCGCCGCGCCTCCGCCTGCTGCGCCACACGGCTCTCCGGCGCGCATCATCGTGCCTGGCTGGAGGCGCGTCCCGCGCACAAGACAGGCGAGCTGCCGCCTCTTCAGTCTTGGCACTCCGCGCTCGCCCCCGCCTCAGGTGCCGGCTTGCCTCTTCTCTCCCTCCCCCTTCCATCCCACGCCATACCCAGCAGCCTCGCACAGGCCATCCATCCACACCGGCTGCCATCGACGGCGCATCCCTCGCCCGCCTCGCACTCCCAACTCTTGCTCGTCTGCGCGACGCTCTGGCGTCCTCAGCGCCCCCGCCGCTCCGGCCTCGGCGCAACTGACCTCGAGAGAGACGCGGAGCACAGCCTCGTTGGCAGCACCCTCGCCTCGGGCGGCTGCCGCGCCTCCCACGCTCTTCGCCCCTTTCTCGACCTCTTTCTCGCGCCAGGCAACTGTCTCTCCTGTCCCGCCCCACCACCGTCCCCCCCCCCCCCCCCCCCCCCCCCCCCCCCAGGCTCAGGCAGTGGACATTCTCGCGCGTCCCAGACGCCTTTGCGCGTCGCCATGACTTCCTCCGCCAAGCTGTGCGTTGCTCTCCTTGCGCTGCTCCAGTCCTCTCCGCTGCCCCATCTCACTGACCGCCCTCATCCACAGCACTCTGCGTCCCCTGCCGCATCTCGACTTCATCGCCGGCTTCCCCGGCATCCCCGGCTCGGCCGAGCGGGCCGCCGCGCACATCACGGGCACCATCGAGGTGCGCCTGGGCCGCGCCGGCCTCAAGGCGAGCTTTCTGCGCATCGAGCTGCGCAAGCTCGAGACGGTGCCCGGCGGCGAAACGTGGGGCGAGCTGGTGGGCAAGGGCCCGACTGCGTGAGTTGTTGTTGTTGGCAAAGGGCAAGAGAGAGTGCGCGAGAAAGAAGCTGACCGAGGAGGGGGGGCGTACAAACAAAAGGGTGTGGTCGGCACGCACGGGACCGGGAAATGGTGATCGAGAACAAGATGCAGAGGGCAACTGGGAGCTGCTGCAGACTGTGAGTTGATCAGGACCGTGCAATGTAGCGTGTGGTCGCAGCGCGAGCGTAGCATGGCGAGGGCGGGGGTGAGCTGCCTCGAGTCTCTTGCGCCCTAGGATCTCCCCTCTCCTCCGTCCGCTGATGGTGTC